GAATCATAGAGTTGGAAGAGACCTCAAGGGCCACCCAGTCCAACCCCTTGCCAAGAAGCAGGAAAATTACATTCAAAGCACCCCCAATAGATGGCCATTCAGCCTTTGTTTAAAAGCTTCCAAAGAAATTCCAGACTCAAACGCATGGTTTATTAAGGTACTAGAAATAGTACAAATGGACTCTCTGTCCCAAAGAATAAACAATAATAGTAAAAAAACCAATTGGTTAGGGCTAAAAGATTACTGTGCGGAAAGAAGAATACCTCTAACGATAGACCTGTCCGACGTGTAAGGAATCAACATGTAAGGAAGAGACATCGGAGAAGAAAAAGAGAAAGAAGCAACGCATCCATTTCAGAAGCGATCCACTACCTCTTGGGAAGTCCATTCTCTGTTTTTAGACTTTCCTCTCCCCCACCCCCCAAACCCCCACCCCCGCCCCTCCCCCCCCGTACTCTCACCCCCACCCCCATTTTCCCGTCCCTTCCCCCTCTCTCCCTCCCTCTTCTCCCCCTCTTGTTTCTGTGTTTTATATCTGTATAAAAGCATAATAAAAATGTATTTTTTAAAAAAATAATAGCTTCCAAAGAAGGAGCCTCCACCACACTCCTGGGCTGAGAGTTCCACTGCTGAACAGCTCTCACAGTCAGGAAGTTCTTCCTAATGTTCGATGGAATCTCCTTTCTTGTAGTTTGAAGCCATTGTTCCACGCCCTAGTCTCCAGGGCAGCAGAAAACAAGCTTGCACCCTAGTTCCTGGAGTTGAATGTGAGCTTCTGACAGAAAGAGGAGCTGAACAGTAGTTTCCAAAAAGTTTTTTTGGCCAGTCTAGGATGGGATTAAAGTTAGTGAAGTCTTGAAAGAACTTCAACAGGGCACCTTATCTATAAGTCCAGATTTATACCTATGGCAGGGGATAAGGTTATTGCCCTCCCAAGAAGATTTTGCTTCTCAAATGACATTTTCATTCAGTCTCCAAATTTCTATCATCGTAGGAAACTGCAATATCAGTTGACTGTTCAGAAAAAGAGTTTAAATATCCAAAGAAAAGGAGGCAGGGAAAGTTACCAAGGGACTACGAATATTGTAAATAGAAGAATTTAATGTGTTGTCAAAGGCTTTCATGGCCAGGATCACTGGGTTGCTGTGAGTTTTCTGGGCTGTATGACCATGTTCCAGAAGAATTCTCTCCTGACGTTTTATTCACATCTATGGCAGGCATCCTCAGAGGTTATGAGGTCTGTTGGAAACTAGGCAAGTGGGGTTGAAATGTCCTGTGAAATGTCCAGGGTGGGAGAAAGAACTCTTGTCTGCTTGAGGCAAATGTGAATGTGGCAATTGAATTTTAGGTACAAGAGGTTACTTATAGAAATGCAGGGATTGAAGAAAAAAATATTTGAGGGGTCAGCATTCATCCTTGTGGGGAGCAAGTAATTTCACACAAACACTGTAGCTAGATCCTAACCCCGCTAAAGATGAGGCTTTTAAGGACAGAGGTTGAGATAGCATTCTTCTATATTGGTTGTGAAGATACTGACATATATACTCTTATATATATTTATCCCTCAGACTAGAATGAGGTTGTACTTATACACAAAGCACGTACATGTACGTCTTGTGATCTCTTTTTCTTTCTGGGACAGAGTGGAGACTATTCATCCCACATTATTTCCAAAAGCAGAAAGAGCAACCTCTTTTTGGGTTTTTTGAGGGGGGTGGGAAGTGATCCTCAAATAGAGGACACTTTTTCTTCCAGCAGCAGAAAGAGCATTCTGTATGAAACAAAAGGGAAATTGGCAGGGAATTCACTGCTGGTGGTGGATCAGAGCATTTATGGGGGCTTGCACTTAACCTTAAATGTCCTATCCTTTCTATTCATAAGGTGAACCCAATTTTTTCCCCTGCCTGGAGTGATTCTGCTTTTTCTTCCTTCCAAGGCCAGCTGGGGACATCAGTGACTGATTGACAGTTGCATTCCCTTCTTTTCTTCCTCTACCCTCCTCCAAAACCCACGAGAGCCACTGCCAGTCAGTGCAGAGAATGTCCTGCACAATGGCGGAATAAAGGAGAGACAAGCAAATCCATGTTTGTGTTGACAGCACCGTCATGAATTCACAGTCCTTCTGTAGGCACCACAGCTGAGATCTCCAAGCCTCTCTTTGTCACTCACTGATGCTGTGAGCTTGTAATATGCTCCAGGGCTCATTCACGCGATATAATTATAGCACAATGATTCCACTTTAACTGCTATGGTTCTGTCCAATGGAATCCAATAATATACAAACTTTAAAAGTACAATAAGCACCAGCCAATCCCTCTGCAATGCCAGAAATAGAGTGCTTGAGGACATCCGTAGGGAGACCAAGGTGCTTCTTTATAAAGCTATTGTTTTCCCAACCCTGTTATACACCTGCAAAATGTGGACTGTCTACAGATGTCACACTCAACTCCTGGAACAATTCCATCAGCGTTGCCTCCGAAAAATCCTGCAAATCTCTTGGGAAAACAGGCGGACAAACGTCAGCATGCTGGAAGAAGCAAAGACCACCAGCATTGAAGCGATGATTCCCTGCCACCAACTCTGCTGGACTGGCCATGTTGTCTGAATGCCAGTTCACCATCTCCCAAAGCAGTTACTATACTTCCAACTCAAGAATGGGAAACATAACATTAGTGGAAAGGAAAAGAGATTTAATGATGGGCTTAAAGGCAACCTTAAAAATGGTGGCATAGATACTGAAAACTGGGAAGCCCTAGCCCTTGAGCACTCTAACTGGATGTCAGCTGTGGCCAGCAGTACTGTGGAATTTGAAGAGGCACAAATGGAGGTCGAAAGGGAGAAATGTGCCAAGAGGAAGGCACATTAAGCCAAACCTGACCAGGACCACCTTCCACCCAGAAACTGATGCCCTCACTGTGAAAGAACATGAGGGCCAAGTATAGGGCTTCACAGTAACCTACAGACCCACTGCCAAGACACTACATTTGGAAGGCCATCATACTTGGATAAGGAGGGATTGCCTAAGTTAGTAAGTACTTAGATGAAGAAGTAGAACTCTTTGGCTGAGAATTCTATACTGCAAATCCCAAAATTCAATGGAATTAAAATGCTATACATTTACTGGTCAGAGTGGTCCCTGATCAAAAAAAGGTTGGGAACCACTGGTCTAGACACTCCACTGGGTGACCTTGAGCAAATCACACTCTGAGCCTCACAGGAAGGAAAAGGCAAACCTCCTCTGACCAAACCTGGCCAAGGAATCTCCCTCATGGGCTCATTTTATGTCCACTATAACTTGGAAATGGCTTGAAGGTGGACGAGGAACAGTTTGGGGAGGCAGTGGAGATCTCCCTGTACTGCAAATCCCAGCATTCAGTAGAATATTACCAAGGTTGAATTTTGAGCAGGAATTTGAGCTGTACTTTAGGAACTCAGAAAGTAAAAGCTTTGGGTGTTTTTGCAGGTGGATTTATGGGGAGTCTTATAGGGAGAGGACTCCTGCCTCTAAAGTCCCAAAGCCCTGGATGAATGGTTTATTATACCAGCCATAGGACATGACATCCAATAATATACAAACTTTAAAAGTACAATAAGCACTTGCCAATATAAATATTTAAACTTATCCCATATAGTAAAGGTAAAACTTTTCCCCTGACATTAAGTCTAGTTGTGTCTGACTCTGCAGGGTGTTGTTCATTTCCATTTCTAAACTGAAGAGCTGGCACTGTCCGTAGACACCTCCAAGGTCATGTGGCTGGCATGACTGAATGGAGCGCTGCTATCTTCCTGCTGGAGCGGTACCTATTGATCTACTCACATTTGCATGTTTTCAAACTGCTACGTTGGAAGAAGCTGGGCCTAGCAGTGGGAGCTCACTGCTATCAAACCGCCGATACGCCAACCTTTCAGTCAGAAAGTTCAGCAGCTCAGTGGTTTAACACGCTGCACCACCAGGGGCTACTCCTTATTCCATATACTGGCTCTTTAAAATCACAATGACATGATAACAATAACAAATGTCTGATTTGTATCAGTGGATGTGGCTCTTAATGAGACATGCCGCATTATCCAGGGGTGTCTGCGACCTACACTACTGGAGAAATTACACTGTTTAGCTGGTATTGCACCACCTGACATCCGCTGGGAAGTAACAACCAAGGACCAAGGAAGTGACATCTCTGGCCCACCCCCTATTTGGATATCAGCCAGCACGCCAAGGACTTAAATCAAGAAATAGTCTTCTAAGATCTACATAGCCACTTGCTGGAACACCTCAGCAAGTGAGAGTCCAAAAGTGGCAAGTTAAAACCTAGAAACTTAATCCATGGCTGATATCAAATGAGAGACTCCCCTCTGGGCACACAAAAGACAGGGCAACTTGGAAGGCGCTGAACAAATTGAAATACCAAGATGCTTGTTTATAAAGCTATTGCCCTCCCAACCCTGCTATATGCTTGAAAAACGTGGACTGTCTACAGACGTCACATGCAACTTCTGGATCGATTCCATCTGTGCTGCCTCCAGAAAATCCTGCAAATCTCTTGGGAAGACAAGTGAACAAATGTCAGTGTGCTGGAATAAGCAAAGACCACCAGGATTAAAGCGATGGTCCTCTGCCATCAACTCTGCTGGACCGGCCACATTGTCCGGATGCCCGACCACCGTCTCCCAAAGCAGTTGCTCTACTCTGAACTCAAGAATGGAAAATAGAATGTTGGCAGTCAGGAAAAGAGATTTAAAGATGGGCTCAAAGCCAACCTTAAGAACTCTGACATAGACACTGAGAAATGCCTTGGCCTGTGAGTTCTCCAGCTGGAGATCAGCTGTGACCAGCAGTGCTTCAGAAGTTGAAGAGACATGAATGGAGGACAAAAGAGAAACGTGCCAAGAGGGAGGCGTGTCAAGCCAACCCCAGCCAGGACGCCTTCCACCTGGAAACCAATACCCTCACTGCGGGACCCACAAGAATACTGATCCTGGAAGACTATCCTACTCGGACAATGAGGGATCACCTAAGTAAGTTAACAGACTGAGTTCAGGCACCAGGAGATGCAGAGCCAACCTTAAGAAATGGGGCTACAAAGTGGTGTCCACGGCATGTGAGTGTGGAGAAGAGCAAACCACAGGCCACCTACTGCAATACAACCTGAGCCCTGCCACATGCACAATGGAGGACCTTCTTATAGCAACACCAGAGGCACTCCAAGTGGTCAGCTACTGGTCAAAGGACATTTAATAGAATGCCAAGTTTTCAAACTTAAAAATAAAATAAAATACAACTGTTTGGTTCGCTCCTGACACAATAAATAAATAAACCATCCCAAAGTATCTCCATTTCCATTTCTAGCCTTTGCTGTGGACTTTACTAATTTAGTTCGGATGTTGTGGGCTGAGGCTGCAAATGTGGCCACCTTTAATGTTATATTTTTTGGAAAGATCCGCTAAGAAGTCACCGATAACTGCTGCCTGTTGCCATGCTGCCCCTTCTTCCAAAAGGGCTCCCAGAACCACAGCCCTGGAGATTTGGCAATAGGATCCCCTTTATCTGCTGCGGGAGTGCCTGGGCGCTGTCAGTTCCTGTGCAAGGACTGGGGAGCAGCTCAGGACGAGATCCGCTCAGTTCCACCTTAAGAAAAGTTTGCTGGACTGTTTCTTTTGGTACGGAAGTTGGAGCTCTACCACTCCCCAGGGATCCCCGGCACGGCGGGCGCTGACCACGGTGGATCTCCTCGGAGAGAGAGAGAGAGAGAGAGAGAGAGAGAAGAAAGGAAGGTATGGCAAAGAGGAGGCCTCTCCTTTCCCTTCCTGGCCCCCAAGCCATGGCCTGAGCAGGGCGCCCCTTCCCAGCCAGCCCTTCCTTCCCTGCTTGCATAAGAGGAATCCCAGCCAGGGCTAGTCTGCATCTAGGTGGCAGGGTCCAGTTTCCTCTGGTGCAGAAAGTGAGGTGGCAGGGAGGAGAAGCAGCCTCCACCGGGTGCTTCTACACTGTGGAATGAATGCGGTTTCACACCACTTTAACAGCCATGGCTGAGTCCTGGGGTTTGTAGTTTGGTGAGGCACCAGAACTCTTAGACAGGAAAGCTAAAGAACATTCAAAGTATCACTACCAGGATTTAATGGCAGTTTGTCACACTAGAGAATAAATCCACTTAAAATCCGATTTCTGCTTCCTGCAGAATTCAAGAGTGTGTAGTTTAGGGAAGGGCCTTTAAGAACCACACTAAACTACAAGCTCCAGAATTGTGCAGGAGGCAGAAACCGGATTTTAAGTGGATTTTTCCCTTTAGTGTGAAGAAGAAATAAGTGGTGTCTAACTGTATTCATTCTATAATGTAGATCAGGCATGGGCAAACTTCTGCCTCCCAATTTGCTACCGGGCACAATTCAAAGTGCTGGCTTTAGCCTATAAAGCCCTAAACCAGGGGTCCTCAAACTTTTTAAACAGGGGGCCAGGTCACAGTCCCTCAAACTGTTGGAGGGCCGGATTATAATTTGAAAAAAAAAAAGAATGAATTCCTATGCACACTGCACATATCTTATTTGTAGTGCAAAAACACTTTAAAACATACATATCACAATTGCAAACACAGAGCATATTTGCCACGGTAGTCCACGCTCTTGTCACATCCCGCATAGATTACTGCAACGCGCTCTACGTGGGGTTGCCCTTGAAGACTGCCCGGAAGCTTCAGATGGTCCAGCGCTCGGCAGCCAGGTTGCTAACGGGAGCGGCACTCAGGGAGCATACCACTCCTCTGTTGAGCCAGCTCCACTGGCTGCCAATTTGCTACCGGGCACAATTCAAGGTGCTGGCTTTAGCCTATAAAGCCCTAAATGGTTCTGGCCCTGCTTACCTCTCCGAACGCATCTCCACCTATGAACTGACAAGGACGTTAAGATCGTCCGGGGAGGCCCTGCTCTCGGTCCCGCCTGCGTCGCAGGCGCGGCTGGCGGGGACGAGAGACAGGGCCTTCTCGGTGGTGGCCCCTCGGCTATGGAATGCCCTACCCGTAGACATCAGGCAGGCCCCTTCGTTGCTGGAGTTCCGGAGGAAGGTCAAGACAGTGGCTCTATGAACAGGCGTTCGGTCAACAAGGCAACTGAACTCATGAAGACGGTATAAATGAACAAAGGAATGGTAGAAGGATTATGAGAACGGAATCTGATTTTACTGAGGCGCTGATGACCACGTTGTTTTGTCTTGTATTGTCTGTCATGTATGTTGTGTTTTAACTAATTGTGATTGTTATATAAATTGTATTGTAAACCGCATTGAGTCGCCGATTTAGGCTGAAAAATGCGGTATAAAAATAAAGCAAATAAATAAATAAATAATAAATAAATTAATATGAAGAACAATTTTAACAAACATAAACTTATTAGTATTTCAATTGGAAGTGTAGACCTGCTTTTGGTTGATGAGATAGGATTGTTGTTGTTGTTGTTGTGTGCTTTGAAGTCATTTCAGACTTACGTTGACCCTGAGTGAGAGCCGGGTAAATGACCTTTGAGGGCCATATCTGGCCCCCGGGCCTTAGTTTGAGGACCCCTGCCCTAAACAGTTCCCACTTCCGTCTCAACTTAGCTATCTGAATGTGTCTCCCCTTACGAACCTTCCAGGAATTTAAGATCATCTGGGGAGGCTGTCTCTCGATCCCGCCTTCCTCACAAGCATGCATGGCGGGGACGAGGGTCAGGGCCTTCTCAGTGGTGGCCCCTTGGCGGTGGAACTCCCTTCCTGGGGATATTAGATTGGCACCCTCCCTCCTGACCTTTAGGAAAATAGTAAAAACCTGGCTCTTCGAGCAAGCTTTTGGAACCTCATTGTAACCAGATAAACTCAGTATTGTGAAAGAAATATGGCTTAACGATGCAAATGGACATGAATTTAAACCCAGAAATCATTGATTTTTATAGTTTTAAATTGCTTTTATATGAATTTTATTATGTGATGTAACCTGTTTTAAACTATATATTTATGTGTTTTTGGCCTCTAATTGTTGCCAGTCTGTACGCCGCCCTGAGTCGCCTTCGGGCTGAAAAGGGCGGGATAAAAGTGTGGCTGGTAAATAAATAAATAAGTGTTTTGGACTTCAACTCCTACAATTCCTAACAGCCTCAGGCCCTTTCCTTAAGTGGGAGAAAAGAGGGAAAAGGAAGGACCCTGAGGCTGTTAGGAATTTTTGGAGTTGAAGTCCAAAACACCAGGAGGGCCCAAGTTTGCCCATACCATGTAGATGCACTTATAGCATTGCTGGGTTGCAAGGAATCAGTGTTTGGGGGGAAAATTGTCCTGAAGTACAGCACACCTTGCTGGCTGGGAAAATTTAGAAGCTCTAGATCAGGAACTACCAAACTTTGCGCTTTCAGAGATTTTGGACTTCAGCCTCTTCCTGAATTCCTGATTATTGCTTCAGTTGGAGGAGGCTTTGGGGAGTTGAAGTCTGCAGGGCCATTGCTTTAGACCAGTGTTTCTCAAACTCTGCTCCTCCAGATGTTTTGGGCTTCTGCTTCTGGAAATCCCAGCCAGATTACCAGCTGTTAGGAATTGTGCGAGCTCAAGTCCAAAACGGCACCCCATGCAGTCATGCTGGCCACATGACCTTGGAGGGCTCTTCGGCTTAGAAATGGAGGTGAGCACCAACCCCCAGAGTCGGACACGATTATTAGACTTAATGTCAGGGGAAAACATTTACCTTTACCTAAGTCCAAAACATCTGGAACATAGTTTGAGATCCACTGCTTTAGACAGACTCAATCAGAGAAGCCACTGCTGATTTTGCAAGACCTGAGCAGAATGGTTGATAAGATCATAAGTCAAAGTCCGTTTAAAAGGAACCCTTTGTGATAAGCAAAGGTTTAGAATGAGATTGAATGCCGTTTGGCACCAATAATTGTCACAACTCAGTGCTCTGAATCCCAAGAGCTATAGTTTTATAAAATCTGTAGCCTTCTTTATGCCATCGCAGTTAAAGTCATGGCAAAGTGAGGTTTGACAAAGCAGCTTATTTCAATGTAGTGACAATACTTTTGCACTGATGGGAGATGCCTTTCAGGCAGAACTTGAGAAAAGTTTGGGTTGTTTTAGGTTTTTCGGGCTATATGGCCATGTTCTAGAAGCATTCTCTCCTGATGTTTCACCTGCATCTATGGCAGGCATCCTCAGAGATTGTGAGGTCTGTTGGAAACTAGGAAAATGGGATTTATATATCTGTGGAATATACAGGGTGGGAGAAAGAACTCTTGTCTGTTGGAGCTAGGTGTGAATGTTGCAATTGGCCACCGTGATTAGCATTTGATGGCCTGGCAGTTTTTAGGTGTAGTAGCTTGTTCAGAGGTGGCCCTAGGAAATTTTCAACGGTTAGCAAGCAGTATTTTGCCCCCTCCCCCCGCAACCAATCACTGATATATATTTTCTGTTCGTCGTGCCGTATTTGGTACAATTCCATCATTGGTCGAGTTCAGAATGCTCTTTGATTGTAGGTGAACTATACATCCCAGTAACTACAACTCGCATATGCCAAGGTCTATTTTCCCCCAAGAGCGCCCCTGGGCAAAATCAACTATACTGCAAATGCTTACTTTGCCTAATGGGTTGAGCCGCCCCTGAGCTTGTTACTGCCTGGGGGAATCCTTTGTTGAGGAGTAATTAGCCGTCCCTGATTGTTTCTTGTCTGGAGTTCCCCTGTGTTTGAGTGTTGTTCTTTATTTGCTGTTATAATTTTAGAGTTTTTTTTTTAAAAATACTGGTAGCCAGAATTTGTTCATTTTCATGGTGTCTTCCTTTCTGTTGAAATTGTCCACATGCTTGTGGATTTCAATGGCTTTTCTGTGTGGTCTGACATGATAGTTGTTAGAGTGGTCCAGCATTTCTGTGTCCTCAGATAATACCACAACCCAGTGATTCCGGCCATGAAAGCCTTCGACAATACAATGAGAAAAGTTTTTTCCGTTGGCTTTCAATATTGGTGTTTTGTGTATGTGCGTATTTGGAAGTCCACTTCTGTAGTTAAGGAGGAAATGCACACTTCACATCCCAAAGCAAAGTTTCTGGTCGAGTGTGAATGAACCTGCTTGATTCTGTTCATTCCCATTCTCCCCTTTTTCTGACTGAAAGAAATTTAACCAAATTCCTACCTTTGTGAGAACACCTCAAGTAGATAGTTATATTTCACTATCCCTTTGCGCGCCTGCTTTTGCAAATCTGCCACTCTTATTCTGAATTTTAGAATTCTAGAAGGATGGTTATTGGAGAGCTGGACTTAAAAATCATTTCAAAATACTTTTAGATAATTGTCTGTATGAACCATGCTAGGAGCCTTTTTGAAACTGGATGACCGTTGTTGTGTGATAAGAAGTGTTGCCAAGTTAATTCTGGAGCCCTGAACTCAAAAGGTTTGTCATTAATTTCAAAGATATCTGAGCATGTTTGAATAACAATACAAACTGTTGGTTGCTGGGAAAGGTCTGATACCTGACCCTTGTCTTTGATAGATCCAACTCTGTCCCTGGTTAGTTTCTCATTCACTGGGATCAAGGTAATCCTGAGATAAATTTTCCTAGCATTCAAATAGTAGCATTTTTCCTCTAGTAGTCTATTGTGATTGCTGTCAATGTATTTTTTTGAGTTCAGTGAATAGCGTTGCCAGCTTCTGTCCTGTTCTCTGCTGTAACTGGGTTTTAAAGCATCTGTCCGAAAAGGTTATGTATGGTCAAATGCTCTTCTTGGATGCTCCTTAAATTGGCAGAATCATAGAATCTTAGATTTATTT